ACTACTAGTAACAAGAAGCTACTAGGTGGAGGCCATCGCTAGTAGGTGGAGGCAAATACTACTAGTAGCAAGAAGCTACTAGGTGGAGACCATCGCTAGTAGGTTGGAGGCGATTACTACCAGTAGCAAGAAGCTACTAGTAGACCTTTCTTCCTGTTCCTTTTTCTTTGTTTCTAATAGGCCTCCAAGCTAGAAGCGATGGCCCCCAACCTACTAGCAGCTTTTTTGCATAGGCGGTGTTGCAAACCTTGGAAGACTCAGAACTCAGGTGTGCCAAACGTCTCTCGGCCTCTAGGCTTGTCACAGTCGAGAGACTAGTGACTACAAGTAGTCCTGTGTGGAAGCTTTGGCCACCTCCGGGCCCACTTGAAGCTGCCTCAAGAAATCTGTGAAGCCTTCCAGTAGCGATGGCCACCCTTGGAGCGATGGCCTCCAACCTAGTAGCCTTCCCATCCGATCATCTAGTCCAACACAAGAGGATACAAAAACTCTTACGTTCGACGCTCAAGATGTTTCAGCTTTCACTTCTGAGTGTCAGACCGGCTTTCCCAAATCAAATGTAGCGCGATCTTCGTGCGCGCTGCTTGTAAATCTGAGTCAGGATGTCTTGCGGCTGCTTTTGCCAAAGCCTCTCAGGATGTCTTGCGGCTGCTTTGCGACCCTCTTCCCAGCCCCCTTCCTCACCCATCCTCTTGACGCAAATACAGCATCCATGCCTGTGCCACTTGTGGACACTCTGTATCCACGATGCTTGCAGTCCAACAGCGATGCAAAGGAAGAACCAGCCTAGGGGCGCTGTCTCTTGCAATCCTAATTAGCTCTTGTAAGCTGATGCAAAGAGTGAATCAAAGTTAAGTTGGAAGCTGGTTTGTCGTTTGCCTTTTTGGGAGCAGCTGGCCGTTTAATCTGTTCGCAGGACGTCTGGGACATAGGTTTTGTCCCAATGTCTCCATGCACTAAGCCTCCCCAGCTCAGTGATACCCGCAGAAACCAGTGCCAAGTGATTGCACTGAATCCCCTCAAATCCTTCGAACTGACCTGCCCAGAGCGACTGCAAGGACCTTCCTCTCCTCAGAAGTCCATCAAGACTCCTGGACTTACTCCACTCCTCTGACGAAGCTCTTCTGTTGCAGTTTTCTCCAGTTCTTGCAGAAACTTGGTCTCAAAGTAGTGTAGATATGGCTTTAAGGATGTGTGTTGTGCATTGGCATCGCGCATTTCCTCCACCAGTTGGCCGATCGTAGGAACCTTGGCCGGGTCGAAGTCGTTCACATTCTCTGGGTCAATTGGCACGCAAACTCGCCCAGTCTTGGGATGAACTACAAAAGGTGACTTCAAGAGATGGTTCATTTGTTTGCTCACATTCACATCCAGCCGAGGATAGGTGTACTGAATTGCCACATCTTTCAGCAAGACCTTGTTTTCCATGCGCTGCTTGAAGGTCGCCTCGTTCACCTCTCGCAAACGAACCAAGTCCTGAAGCTTCTTCCAAATCTGCAAAGATGTGGCATCAGAGTTCTCCTGCATGAATTTCTTGATCTTGTCTTTCTCGTCAGCACTGAAAGGCTCCAGGATGTTGGTCAAATGATTCCCGTTCTTCAAGATGTCTTGATTGGCCAAAATCCCGTTGGGATCTTCAAACCACTTCTTGCAAATCTTGTAGGCCTCATCCACTGATGGGTGAAGTTCTTCACAGCCATTCATCTTGAGATCTGCACGACACTTGTTTGCACCACTAGAGACCATCGTCAAATACTCCGCCACCGCAGAACGTTGCTCATTACTCAGCTTTCGGGCCTCAGAGTCACAGACCCAGCAATGGACACCACGACGTCCGGAGTAGACAAAGAGGATGTGTTGGAAGCCAAAGTCCTCCTCCAAAGTGCGCTTTAAGACCTGAATTGCCACCTTCATGAAGGTCCAGCACTTCAAACACAGCTTGGAGCCTGTGCAGCAGGTTCGGATATCATCGTAGTCATCCATGTCGATATCGAAGACCAGCTCACGCTCCAAAGGTTTGTAGACATCCTTTGGCAGCACATGGTGCTTGGAAGGGGCATGAGAGAAAACAGCTCCAATCTCCATCCTGATCGGCTGCCTCTCTAAGACCTTTGCACGGTATTCTTCCATGTCTTTGAAGCACTGATAACGGCAAAAGATGTCACCCTGAAGGACAAAGGTGAATTCCCGTCGCTGAAAGAAATCCTTCTGCGTTCCAGGACTGGAACTCTTGGGATCATTGCGATAGCTGAGCCATCTGAACATCTGCAAGAATGGGAAGAACTTCTCATAGTAGATCTTTAACAACTGAGGGCTGAAGTCCTCGTTCTTCATCAAGCCATCCACATCCATTTTCTGGGCATTCGACATGGCACGAATGTGACCAGTGCAAGTAGGTCAATAGTGACATGTCTGCTTCTTTGCATAGCTTCCCTGGAATTGAAGATCTTCTCAAGTGAGCTGTGTTCCCTTTCTTGTGGAGAACAATGAGATCAAACATGAGTTGGTCTTATCTTTTAAGCTGGCGGAAATGGAATAAGAGCTGATAGCCTAAACTCTGCGTTGTCTACATGCAGCCTGGGATTCCAAAAGCCAACAACTCCACTACAACTCCATTAATACACTACACGATGAACACCAGCTGCCAAAAGCAGGGTTGCTACTCAATCCAACCAAGCTGCAAGGGTTCTCCCCGTGCCACTTGCTCAGATGTGCGACATCCTGATCACTGTCTTGAAAAGAGCACGAACCAGGACATTGAGAATTACCAATACAAAGATCTCAAAACAAATATATACGCAAAGGAAATCCAACAATCACCTTCCTGCACTGGAATTTTAAAATCCCTTAAGCAGTTCTGCTGTTTGTTGAGGCCAGGATTTAGGTTGGCCTATATTTTTGACAAAGCTTTGTGATGCTGCCCAACACCTCCATAGCTTTCTGCTGGCAGATTTACAGCTTTGTCAGACCAACATCCGATGTACTTGTCCGATGCGACATCTGAGCAGTTTCCGCATGTTTCCACTGGTCGGTGCTCTGCTTCCAGTGACTAAAGCCAAATGTTCTTAGTATTCAGAAAGGGTCCATGTCAAGTTAGCCTTAGCACGCGTGCGCAAGGCTGTCGCACGTGCGCACGTGCGCAAGGCTGCCTCCATCTTGAACATTTGCATGGCAGGGTGGAATTAGACGCGGTATGGTCCCCAAAAAGCATTTTATGAAAGGCGGTGGGACCGAGGATCAAATGACCAACGACCACAAAGGCGCAGGAAAGGCCAGCTAAAACACCGAAGAATACCGAAGACACACATCTCAGCAAACTTTCTTGATGCAGTAACAGTAAGCGGTTGCTTTGGGATATCGTTTGTTGATCCACATGTCCACTTAGGATGCATTCCTATGGTGCCTCCATTGATGTACAGCCATTTTGGCAATTCCAAAAGTTGCTTGGGCCATGTCGCTCGTATCGACCTGCTCGTCTACTCAAAATAAAAGGTTGAACCAAAAAGGGCCTACCTGGAGGGGCACGTATGAATCGGGGGTGCACAAAAGAATCAGGACGGCTCAGGGTTCACGTTTGTGCCCCACACCTGAGAGGGTGCAAGTCTTTTCGTTGTCAGCCGCTTGTGGGATCTTATGGATGTGTTCCTTGAAGAGTAGCGACCATTACCGGGCCTAGATATCACACATCATGATATGGTGTTTCCCACAAACCACGCAGGTCGTCGCACTCAAACACACCAGCAAAGCCAGCTGCTGCACCACAACTACTACCACTCAGGTGTATTGTTTCACCTCTGCGGTCCGTGCCCTGGGCCAAACACATGTTTTCTCTGACACGCCTATGCCTTCAAGCCATTCCTTGTAGCAATGATGAAATTGAATTAAAGTACGATTTCGACGGAAAATGGAATACCTTCCTTCCTTTCAACGAGGCAAATCGTTGTAAACCTTCAGCCGAACTGTAAGCTTGCAAAGGACAAGCACGAGGCCTTTGTCATCTACCTGACAAACAAAAGGAATGCGGACTGAAAGCAAAACAAGAAGCAAATCTACAAACGTGACAAATAGGTTGGAGGCCATCGCTTCTAGTAACAAAGGGCATCGCTACGAACGGAGCAAGGACGCTACTGACTAGGGGCGCTCCTGGGCTTACTACTAGTAACAAGAGGACGCTACTAGGTTGGCGGCCATCGCACGTAGCTTGGAGGCCATCGCTACTAGATTCTCCACTCTCGTGCGCCTTCAGCTTGTTCACTGTGTACCCAAACGCATCGAAAGGGTTTGCCATGGGAATTCAAACCCATGCCCGGCCCATGTCCGGCCCACGCAGGTGCTTAGGTCATCAGCACTTGGTTTGGCTCCTGTGAGTCTTGGTTGCTCACTTCCTGCTCCATGTGTCGTCTTGGCTGTTTTCTCATTGCACATCGTTGCTTCCAATATTCAAAGCCAACGCAGCTGTTTGGAGCCGGGTCACAAATCGTGCAAGGCTACACAAGGTTACATGCAGCTACTCAGCCCAAATTCAGCTCAGTTTCTCCGTTCACTTTGTATACCCTAACATAGAGCTTGTTGGTGCTCACAGGCTTTCACTTCTCTTCCATCTTCTTTGAGCTGCAAAAGGCACGATCAGTAGCCAGACTAAGAAATGGCGGCCAAATCTTGAGAGTATGTTCGATTCAACATCTCTTTCTCTGATTACCCAATAGCAAGACCATAATCAAAGACTTTTTCTCCATCAAAGCGCCTCTAGGTCGGTTGCAACTCTACCATCTCCACGACCTGTACATTGTGGTCGCTTTGCAACGGATTTGTCCTAGGCCAAAAGCTGTCGCGAAAAACAGAGCTTTGTCGTTTGCTGAATCGGAGAGGCCATTGCTATTTTGTTGTAGGCCATCGCAAGTAGGTTGGAGGCCATCACTACTAGTAACAATAACAAGAAGCTACTAGTAGCTCCTGGCATTACTACAAGTAGCAAGAAGC